AGAAGGTACCCCGGGCCGTATCAAGTTACAACATACCGACCCGAACGCCCTTCCACGCCGCCCGCCCACAAATGGACGACCGTACCTGATGCTCGTATTGCTTCATTTGCTAAAAAATATGAAGCGAAGGGATTGATATGAAGCGGCCGCGGTGCTGTATGCATATAAGAGTACACACATGAAGCAGTATCCATTGTAGCGGTGATTGGCGTCCTACGGGAAACTCGTCCAAAATCGCTCTCTAAGTGGTGCAGTACGAAGGCTTTTCTTCGCAGGTTTAAGACCTCCACGTCGTTTTTTCGCCATTTTCCCCACTATATAGCACCCTGCTAGCATTTTAGACCGAGTACCAAATTACCGTACAAACTGCCTTTAAAGGCAGTAATCCTCCAAGACGAGCAGGACTAATACGCCTGGCAGGACGGAATTCCGCGACCCTGAGCAGGCGCTGCATAATGCCTTCTAGGGAAGGTGCCCTTATAAGGGCCCTATCAAGCCACAACTTTACGTCCCAAACGCCCCCTTGCCCGCCCGCCCACAAATGGACGACTGTTCCAGACGCTCTAATTGATTCATGCTAAGCAAATTATGAAGCGAAGGCATTGGTATGAAGCGGTCGTGATATATGAGCATGCATGCAATAAGGGTACAGCATCGTGATGTGTGAGTGGTAGTGTAGGTACGAGACCCCCCCCCCTTCTCAGAGAAGGTGTCAGTACGACTCCCCACCCAAACGAGGGTCTCGGTAGGAGGCCCCCCCCCCCACCTCAACAGCTCCCTACCAATTTCTTCCCACATTGTCCAGTTTTCACCCAAAAATTTTCCCATCAAGGGGGGGGGTATATAGTACACAATGAAACATGCAAAATCGCGCTCGTATGCATGAGAACCCAGCTCTGACTCTCTGGAACTCTGTGACTGTACTCATTCCAACTTTTTAAGCACAACAGGTGGCTCATCCACTTGGCGCCCACAACTCTTTGTAGAAGCCCATCCCCTAACTCGCCACATTTGCCCCTATTCTGTTGCACCTTTCAATGCGTAGAGAAAGGAGCAGCTGTGGGTACGATGTGAAGGTCCGCCGTCTTGCTCTACAAAGGATCAAGACATAGTCTACGGATCGATAGGCTTGCTCCCTCGAATCGCGTCACGTCAATTCCCAATATTTTTCTGCGCTCACTTGCCCTGATTTGGCCCAGCTCGTCGGGGTTTTCGCGAATGATGAGTTAACCCTTCGTGTAGGTATACTGATGACTTTTTATTAAGCTTCATTCCCATGTGTCAGTCGATGCCCTTAATCGTCGGCGCTTTAGCCTTACATGTCAAGTCCACGGCAAAAAAAAACTAGGGCAAAAAAAAACCTGTGTATTATAGGGTTATGAATAAGAATATGTGGGGGGGGGGTGAGCCATATTGAGAAAGGATCCCTCATCGCCATGAGCAGAGCGTTCGCTTCCTGTTGGGGAGTTATCGCGCTCCACTACACCAGGCGGCGCCCTACACCCGAATCTTTTTTGTTGCAGAACTTCTCCTGAAGTGGAGGGGTTTAATGCGTTTCTCCACATTACTTCGTGTGATTATTCGAGGTTCGAACGGTGAATCAATTTGGCGAGAAGTCAGTGACCTGCGTCTACCTAAAGGAGGGAAGAAACTCTCGTTCAAATTGGTCAGTTTTTTTCATTTGATTGCATGCCAAGCCTTTCGGCTGAAAGGGAGAACATTGCTAACTTGCTTGTTCCTTTTGTTAGATCATGTTAACTAACAGTGCTTACTTTGGGGAGATCTGTAAACTTCTGTGTAGCTACGAATTGGCAAGTGGGCCAGCTTGATCGAAAGAATTCACAGCTCTTCACAAGGTAGCCTGTACAAGTGTCGTTGAGTACCATTTGGTGCCACTTCCAACCCGAGTTATGCCAGTTTTTCTTCTATTATAATAACTAAACATGTTGTGTCACATGACGATCCATCATGTTCAATTAAAGTCTTCCAACTGGATTTTGTTTTTGAAAATTAACTTTGCTGTTGATGTCTGCCAACAGTGAATCGAATTTTCTTCATTTTTTCCTCTCTAGAGTATTGAAAGCCTGTTTGGTTGTACTTTCTTTATACTATTAGCTGTTTGAACGCTACTTTATCATACTGGGGCATTTTGTTAATTCCTATCACCTATCAAGGTGTCTCGCAGTTTTGTCTATTTCCTCAAACTCTTAGGAAGCGACCTTTCATTTGCGCGCCATTTTTGTAGATTTGTTTCTTTTAATCTAAAGCGACATTTAGTGCTGAAACTTAGGAAGAAACACTTGTGAGTG